AAAATAACAGACAAAAGGATTAAAAAACCAAAACCAGCATTAAGGGCCCTTCTGCCACAGAAGGACGTCTGCAGAAAAACAATAAAGATTCATTACTTTTTTGCAGTCTCATTTCCTGTATCCCGTGTTCACTTCTTGTTTATATGAAACAAGATTGCCACAAGACCCCCTGAGGAAACTGAAAGCCTAATAGACCAGACGAAAATAGAGGGGAGTACCACTTTGGGGCAGGGGAATTTTGATTACCAGTTTCGAGTTCTTTATCAAATGGGAGTATTGAATTTTGATGATAAATGGGGATTTGCCACTGTTTTTTGGGGTAAAATGAGAGTTAAATTAGGAGAAGTTCCTGCTTAATCTCTGCAAAGAAGAAACATGGTTGGAATGACGTTTATAACAAAAAAGCTCGTCTAAGCAGTGGAACATGAAGGATATGTTTAAAGTAGTAAAATGAGCATTAATTTGTCACGTGACGTCTAATTACCTCCATGTCTTTATATGGATATCTTATTAAAAATGGGCAAAACCAACTCATCCTTTGACATCGGAAATCCATTTTAAGCAATGAAATTGACTATCAAATCTTTAAGAAGGAACTGTCGTGGTACTCAAACTATAAAACGGACTTTTTGTCGTTTTTGTCAACCTACATTAATAGTATTATTTGGTTTTGAAGAATACAAGGAACAGTAAGTTTTCACGTTTATCTTATCTGTACTAGCATAGTAATACTCTTCCCCGCCCCAAAGTGGTACTACCCCCCCCATTTCCGTCTGGTCTATAAGGAATTTGGGACTTATTGGGCAACTTTTATCTCTGCGGTGATGACATAGGATTCAGATCCTCTTCCCCAACTAAGTAAGGTAGATAACTACCCTCATTTTACACCATTAACAGCAGCCAACCTATCTAAGCTTCCTATATAACGTCCACCTTTCTGGTTTCTTGTGTACGCTAGAGTTTCTCACTAGGGTGCAAGAAATCATATCAATCAACTGAAATCGTCACGAAGGTTTTATCACTTGCCTGAGGAAGTACAAGGCCATTCTCTATAAGGGGCAATTCACTCTTGCAAATAGCGTACGATATTATGTTTTAGAAAATACCTCCTATTATTCCTTTTATTCCTTTTGCTACAAAAGCAGCCTGGCACGCGCATATCTCGAGAAAAACCCTTAAACAAAAGGATTTCTGGGGATTTTCAGATAAGACAATAAGATTTTTACAAAAGGTGTACGAGATTTTCTTGGAGTGATTTGCCCAGGGGCGCAAATGAGGGGGGTGTCATATGTACATGCTTTATCTTTTTTCCGTGCTATGCGCGGCGTTGGATGCGCAAATTTCAAGGGGAATGCGAGAGCAGCAGTCACATTCCCTCAATAGTATCTCAATTGGAAATTTCAGGTAAAATCCGCTTGGTGGAAGAAGCGCTTTAGGTATTTCAGAGACCTTCCTGTCATAATATCAATAAAGGATCAAGCAAAGGTAGTTGCTCCGTTGGTTAAATTAAATATGATAATTTTGTTGGCATTAAATCTAAAAATGACGAGAACAGCTATTGTGTTACGCCTGTGGGCTTGGTTCTAGAGCAGTTGGTGACCTAACAAGAAAGAGGACAAGGGTGCAAAGTCAAATTAAAGTTTTTTCTTTAAAAGAAAATGCCTAAGTTAAGCTGCCTTATAACGTAAATTCAATATAGTCTTAGATCAATTTTAAACCCACATAAAAATCTAAATTGAGAAACAATCAAGTCCTTGAACTTCTATCTTTATCATAACATTAGTGGAAATTTCAAAACAATTAGCTTTGGCATGAATTTTTTTGTCAAAATAAAATCTCAAATGAACGAATTTGTCTCATAGAAAACACGATATAATGACAGGATAAATTAATAATGAGAAGAGAAGTAAAAAATTATCAAGCAGAGCGTGTAAAGCATTCCTTTTTCAATCTAAAGGCAGATTTAAGGATTGGTTTGCGTGGGATATTCTAAATGGGAGGAAAAAGTGTCTTATTGGGAAGTCTCCAGGTAAAGTTTGACGGGTGTTAGACGTGTTTGTAATTAGTGTTTATAAAATTTGCTTTTTTTGAGAATTGAATAAATCCTTTACAGGGGAAAATAGATTTCTTATTGTAGAAAATTTTTCCTTGCTTCTAGTAACTGTTGCACCTGTCAAACGGTCCATTCTAAACCCAAAGCTTATAAGAAATAATTTCGATTCAACATAAATCAAGCGTGTCTCTCATCCTATTCAGACTTAAAAGCGCAATCAAATCATATTTAACCACAGATATCTACGACAAAGGCAGAGAGGGAGAGAGAAAAAATTGTACGATTCAAGATATGAATAGTTTGGGAGACTTTAATTTCGCAAACATTCGCTCATGCGATACGCATTTCATATTTCCTGTTGGTTATTCCTTCTGTATTTAACATGATGTTATGTTGCAATGTAATGTTACAAGTAATGCAATGCGAATTTCTTTGAGTGCATTCTATATCTTTCGATCATCTTGAAATAAGCATGGCAACTTCATTACAACAGTGAACCGACTTTATTAATATTCAAAATGGACAACCATTCAATTTCGAGTTTGCCTCTCATGAGTAAGTAGTTAAAATATTTTGACTGATATAAGTGGTTCGTCATTTAAAGAGGCCCTAACCTTTCTTCCATAGGGGCTCCGATTTGCTTTTTGTGTCACTACTCTTATCTTGTGGCCTTCGTTGACAAAGCTTCACCATATGGGCTGATGACTGGGGATTTGGGGAGTCATGGCATTGTTTTGAGTTAAAAATAACATATAGCTATAGTCTGGTCAGGGTACCAGGAAATTTTCGTTTCCAAAGGCTAAAAAAAGTTTCTTTTCTAAAGACGGCAGTTGATAAAAAGAGATGGGAAAACGCATTTCCCTCCTCCGTCTGTCCTACCCAGAGGCATATAACAACAAAGCAAGTATTAGCATGCGTGCAGATTTGAAAAAATAAGAACCAATCATTTGCAAAGTCTGAAAGCACGCTAAATAAATGCCAACTGCTGTCTCAAGCTCGAAAATTACTTGGGCAAAATCTAAAGGTTTTTGTGTATTTTAGACGTCCCTAGTAACATCTTCATGATTTGATTATGTTGAGCACGTTGAGAACTAAAGCTTCTTTGAAGAATTTTTTGCCGTACCCAACATTTATAAGTTAACCTCCTCTAATGATGTAACCACTACCTTGCTTTCTTAAAATGAAATATTGTCGTCCAAATTCACATGATCTTAAGTTGAAGAAAATGCTCACAACAATTCAAATTTTCCCATTTGCTACAAAATTATGCTAATTCAAAGTCTGGGTTTTATTCTTCACATGCCAATATAGAACACAGATAATTCATACTTATAAAAAGTACTTTGTTGAGTTACTTGAATCTCCAGCCCTTTCTTTTGTGATTTCTTATACCAAATTCTTCAAACTGCTAAGTGCCAAATACAGAGAAGATATAAACCTATTTCAAGACCGTGTTTCAAACACGAAATATAAAAAGTACAAAGCATTTTACTTCAGTCATCTTTGCAACACAAATCTTGAAACTACAACACTTTTATGCAAATCATTAAAAGCTAAATGCTTGAAATGAAGGATAATGGAAACACCTTTCCAGGCTATATTTTTTTTTCAATTGTAAATATATTTGCCTGTGAAAATTTAGGCTTATATGTTGATGATATCAGAAAAAAACGTAGCGTTTGCTGGAAAGATAAAGATTTACCTTAGTTGTTAGAATATGTCAAGTGCTAAAGATTCATCCAGCTTTTATAACTATTCTTCTCAATATTGAGATCTTATTTATTATGTCAGGGTACAATAAAGCTTCTTCTTTGTCATTTACATGTAAAAGCTGAGATATACTCCAACAGATGCGAAAATTAAGAACAAAGTGTCAAGAAGTTGATGCACATTGCTTGAGCTATTCCTCGTGCTTGTTATAAAGCATGCAGATGTAATTCAAATTGAATGCAAAAAATGATACTTGCTGTGCCAAAAGTGAGATTTGAGATAGGGGCGTGGAGCCCCCTACAAATGATAAAGATAGACCAATTTTAAGGTAGATAAATGCTGTGCCCAAAGAAGAGTCCATTATGAGAGATGGGTGTAGCATCCATAACATTACAATGATGTGCCTGCATTGCAGCAGACGGTTTGCAGATGGAATATCAAGCAAATCCAACATGCTCTAGAGACAACTGACTCACGAAAACTTGACTCAGGCATAGGTTTTGTCAAACATTGTTTATATACCAGTACTTGTTGCTTACATGCGTACATGCGATGGAACGAAAGTACCAAACCTAGGTAACGCAACATTTTTATCTGCCTAAATCTTTATGATGCATTAATCTTTTAGCTGTCACGCGTAGAATAAACATCGTACAGAAAAAATCCCGGTTCCCTTGCACCAATGCTTGTAAGCAAATTTACAAACATGTTTAAAAAGATGTTAAAAAGCGCCATTGCCTTCAATTTTCTAGGCCAGCTCACTGCCTTCATTTTACAAGCCACACCCACAAAGCTCCGTTCCTCTTGTATTAGATAAATTTCTCCAGCAAAAGGCGTATTGTTATCGTATCTTTCAACATGCTCGAGTATTCGTCGTAGCGATTCAGGTGTATGAGCTATTTGAGCTCCCGCCTTAGTCTGTCACCGTTGTTCATCAATCATTTTTGCGAACAGTAGTTCACATTATTTCGAACTACCGCAAAAGTAAGTGTTAACTCGCCTAAATACCTAAATTCCATAAAAAGATTTTCAGGATTTTTATAATAAATTAGCTCATTGAAAAAAAATTCGTAAAAAAATGTTTCCAATGAGAAGTAATAGAGAACAGAGAGACCTCTAAGATTTAACCAAACCAGGAACAAATTCGATTGAAGAGGTTTCGTGGCTACGCAAAATCAGCATCTTATATAATACAAAAAGAGGCTTTTTTGTATAAGAAACAAAAGTAATAACTTACAATTTCCTGAGCTATCTGCCTTTCCAGATCTTTCTTAATCGTCACACTAGGCCTTGCCAATTTGTTTTTATGAAGTCCATGTGCACTAGTCCAAGAAGACTGGGTACAATGCCAATAGCTCAAAAATAGCTAGGCAAAAGTAAGATCTCATTAATAACAATGGCTCACAAGATGCATCATTTATGCATCGTCACAAAGACTCTCTCCAATATGTAGTACTCCAGTTCTAATGCTTTGCTTCAAATGATCATTTTTTACAGATCAGATACTTATAGTGCAACAAAAGCATATCTCTCTCAAGGTGCAGCTGCACGGTGCAGCTAATGTTTTCCAAACAAACTTTGGTTTACTATTAATTGCCTTGTGGTCGCAACAGCTGTAAATGCTGTAAATTCCAATCTTCCACACCTTGCTTCAATGCAACTTTGCTAATTTCGACTTTGCAACTCTGCTACTTTGCTACTTTGCAACTTTGCGACTTTGCCTTGCTGCTACTCTGTTACCCTCCAACTCAAATCTGCTGCACTGCCATTCTGCCCATCTACAACCACATGACTGATTACATTCAAAGAATTCAACTAAACTTGCAGCTATGAATATTACAAGAATCTTTCATTTTACACGCGGGAATGACACGTGAAGTATTTTCCAACCGATTGTGCAATTAAAAACAGCGACAGGTCTTTCGAATCCAGGACAAACAAGGCTATCACTATAGCAACGATTGTCTTATTATGTCCAATACTGCAGGAAACTTTATTTGCGGTTGACGTGCGCTATTTTTGCTAGGTTAATTGACAAATAACTAAATGAAAAAGTGAATAAAGTTCTGTTTCCTAAGCTGTAGAAAGTTTACAGCATCGATTTCTGCCAATACTGAAGCATAATTCTAATTAAATCAAGTAGTAAACTGCAAGATATGTTTCAATACACTTCTTGGAATATAAAAAGCTATTTTTAAACTGCTAAAATTTATAAAGGGGCAGTTCTAATAAAGAAAGCTGAGAGAGATGTCTCAGAAAGAATTGCAATATTACATTTACTCCTGTATTCAGACTCACAAAGAAAGAACATAATCTAGAGAGGCCACAGAAAGAAGAAATTGCATGCTGTTCACGGCAAAGCCCAACATTGCAAACTTTTTCTACTGTAGGCCTGCCTACTTCTTGGTCCTTTGGTGGAGCTATCTAATGCTCTAATTATTTGTCTCTATCACACTTGTAGTTATTTTATTTGTACTTGTGGCATTATGAAAGCTTTTGTTAAGGTTTAAAAACAAACTACAAATTACCAATCATGCGTGAGCCAAGCAAAATGGGTGAAAAGATGGAAATGTCCCTCCAATTTACTTTTCACTAATGTCATAAATATTCTAAGATATATTATAGAAGATATATGAACAGCCTTTTCCTACAATTTGGTGTTCAAGGAATGGCTTTGTGTTGTTGTTTATGTTTTATTTTCTGTTGTGTAATTGAAAGAGCATCAAGAAATTGATTTTCTATCTAAGTAGCCAACAAATTAACCGTGCCCATATCTGCACAAAGTATGGATTTTTTTTATCTTTATTCATTGAAGCCAGTTTCTATCATTCTGTGTACTATAACGTCACTTTTATACATGCATTGCCGTAACCCTCATTGAGAAAATCATACCAAAGTAAAAAGTTTCAGATACTTGCAGATACAGAGAAACCTTTTAAAAATTAGAGATTGGCTCATGTCGGGAGAAAAGGGCATCTCTTTGAGCTACTAATAGACACTTTACCACTAAGTCTGAAAAGTGGGGGGTACACCCACGTCCCTCTTCAGTTACTGCGTCTATGGTAGCCTTTTTAATGAAAAAATTTCTATCGAATCCTATCCGTTTCTTATTGCTATCTGTGTTGCTTTAACCCCATAATACACCGCTAAGTAAGAGAGCTTTTCCTTAAAATTGAGAGAAGTTTCTTGAAAAAGCTGATAACCGTTTTAAAATATCTAATCATTTGTAAATTTTAGTCGATTGTGAAAATATTGCCATTCAAAAAGCAATTATAAACAGAGCCTTGCGTCTCATTTCATCTTTGTAGATCTCAAGCAAAACATTAAAAGGAAGTCATTTTTTAATACGGTATCATTTTTAAGGCAAGAGTTTACCCTGGCTTTGGATAGTTCCGTGTGATTATACATAAAGATTTTACACATGTTGATTCAGGCATTTTAAAGCATCACTTGCTGGCCATATCATTTGGTCCTAACAAAATTTGTAAGCGTTTATGGTGTAGAAAATGAAATATTATTTTAAATTCCATAGTTTCATTGCCTGTCCCCCGTGATATTATTCTATCCAGAGAAAAATTTCGAAATGTTTACGGCATTGGAAAAGAAGAAAAGGCAGTATAATTGTAGCCATGAAAGAAAGGAAAGGGGGAGATTGGACAGGAAATGGTAGAACTCCTTCAGCATGGTTAGAAAACATCAAAGATCAGGAAAGAAACATGCTCGTTGCAAGAAGCCAACGGACGAAACAATAGCATCCCCCCGAAATTTATTTTAGGCGTACCTTTGTGTGAGCCTTTATAATCTTAAACATATCTTGCTTAGACCCCTTGGTATCGCTTCTAAAGGTCACCATTAAGCTATTTTGTTCAATCAATGAACAACATAGTTCGGCTGGATTGTGAAATGGTATCATGGTTTGCAACCTGCAAATTATAAAGCTTGGTCTAATAATAAAACACTATATTCAGGCATCCAATTAGTTTAGAAATTAAATGCATTCAGCTTGACTAATTCAATACATAGCAAACAGAGATGGCTTGGCAGATTGTGCATTGACACAAGAGGTGCCTTGGATAGGAGGGGGCTCTGAGGTAAAATTCTGACGGTTTTCGGGGGTCCCGTCCCCCATTAACAAGCAAGCTCATGTCTGGTTAGACGAATTTTGTGGCAACCCTTTATTTTACTTAAGATTTTCGTAAATGAGCAATTTTCTACCAGTATTTTTAGTTGATGAATAGTTTGAATGAGTTCTTAAGCCCCACTAGAATCTTTGACACAAATGTATGTTCATTGGGTGAGGTCAGGGGTGTGGCTTCTACAAGTTGCTTGCAGAACAGCACCCTCCTAAAATTTAGGAAGGCGCCCCTGATTAATACATAGAATTAACTTTAATAGGAACTATTCAAAACCGGGTCTATGTACTAGGCTTTAAATATTATCATTTCCTAAAATGGATCATTGAATGGTGGAGGAAGAAAAAGGTAGATTGCCTGTCTAGAGCCAAATACATTGATAAACAAGGATAATTTATTTTTCTTTATCGGCGTTACCTTTCAATATCAATATCGACTGGCAGCAATCAGTCACTGTGAATGCAGTCATGCCTAGATAAGTTCAATTATATATCCGGAAAGCGATTATGCAACATGCGTGATCCCTATCGCAGGCTGTCTCACTTTTTCCTTCTGATGTATTTCATTATGGTCACGAACTGTTGAGAAATCATTGCAAATATATCTATTGATAATGGCACGATTAAATTAACGTTTAATTGCGATTTTTTTTATGACTTTCTATATTGACGTCTAAAGTGTGGTGTCATAAAGATTAAACTTATAAAAAAATAAACTTGCTATAACCACATAGCCATAAAGAACATCATGAAATACTTGAAGTATGAAAAATCAGCTAAATATATTGATATTTGATTGAGCTATGACAGATGAAAAATTTCGAAGTTTGCTGATGCTAAGGGATTGCTGTTATGTTGGCTTGGTTCATAAAGCTATGTTACAATGATTTGAGGACAAAAAACAGACAGGCCTCGCCAAAGTGCGAGCGGCGCTCGCAGGCAAACTGCCGATCAAATTAAGTCTGCAGGCACATCTGTAAAAACGGTATTTTTCCAAGTTTCCAACTGTTTAAAAATTTAGAGAAATAATTCAGCTACAAGTTTTACCATGTGAATATTATCAAATGTTTTTCTTCCTTTGAATAAAGTGATTAAGATACTCGGAAAAAAGATGAATAAGGCAATCACACCAGGGATTTAAGCCCAGAAGCACGTCCGTGGTATTAGTAAAACCAATAAAAAACCTCGAGGATAATGAAGTGCGACAAGGTAAAGAGAGGGTGAAATGAAACTGATTTATCACGCAATGTGTACACTGAGGACAAGAAGGAAACTTTGAAGATCATAATGCCTTTATAGTTGATTTACAATGAGGTGTACTCAAAGTAAAAGAAAGCTGCAATGCGTCCGATGTTGCAGTTACAGCCCTAAAGGATATTCATTTGTCAAAAACTTCAAAAAAATTGAGTTGATTATCTCAAATGTATCTGGCAATGGACTTCGGTTCAAATTCACAGATTTTTGAGACATCTGCAAAAGTAGGCTTTACCGCTATGTGAAAGTGATTTACGTAGCAAAGAGAGAGGAATAGGTTTTTCTAAAACCAAGAACAAGATGTCTAAAGATCTTGATATGATTATTTATTTTTTTTTGCGTGAATCGGTCATTGATTTAAGGCTTCCATGAAAAAAAATTCAGAAGAAACTATCTGGGTGGAGCATGCAAGAGAAGGAAATTGTGATTGCTGTTAATGGAAAAAATATTAAAAAGCTGAAAGTATCATCAGTTATAGTATCAAACAGTATCAAGCAATAAAACCGACTGCCATTTCATTTGATGCTCAAATAAAATTAAGGACTCAATCGCTTCAATTGTTTTGGAACGAATGAAAAAAAATGGCCAGATTTCCCTTTTTGTCGTAAGCTAAAGTTTGTTTAAACTCTACAATGCTATTTTTGTTGATAAAACCATCATCATTCTTTTCAAAAATTTACCGGTCTTTAAACAATAAAAATGATTCATGAAAAAGAAAATAAACCGAATGTCGTATTGCTGTCATTTTTCCCGGGGTACTTTTCATGATGCACTTTAAGATTATGTCAATCACATTCGAAAGCTCTTAAACATATTTGTTGACGTTCTGGGGCGTAGCTTGCAGGAAGGGTGTAGGGGGTGTAGCACCCTCCTCACCACCAATACTTCATGAATTGGTCGGTAAATCTTCAATTTGTCTACAAAATCCTTAGTTTGTTGGTAAAATCATCTATCATTAGGTGAAATGGTAACTAAATTTTTCTCCATCTATGTCTTCGTAAGTAAATTTTTCTTGAAAAATAAGCAAAAATTGATGACCCTCCACACCCCTTGGTCTGGAAGGTCGAGCTACGCCACTCTTGCACAGAATCTGTTCAGGGTTGCTCTTTTACAGAAGATGCGACAATAAATTAGAGATCAATTATAAATGGAAAGCTTTAACGTAATGCATGAGGAAAACTTCACGACGTAATTATCAATGCGTGGTAATATAATTTAAAATATTCCGAGGAAGATCGACTGGAAAGTACCATAGTCCGAACCTGCCCCGACCAACGCCATTGTAATGATAAGAGGGTAAAAGACAACGTCATTTAAGTTTTTTTCATCTATCGTTTAATTCAAGCCTTTTGCTAAGATTTTAATGAAAGTTCGTTTCCCCTAGCCCTTCAACCCCTATCATCCCCCACTAAGAGGCGTAAGAAAGACGGAACTAAATTCAAATGTTGTTTGTTGGCGATCAACAATAAGGCAATAGCTATTAAGATTCGTTGACAACAAACGAAATCACCATCGACATTTTAATGGTAATTCTTATCTCAAATTTGAAGCACTTCTCCTCGCACGTTCTTCACGATCGAAGTAATCCTTTTTTGACGTCATATTTGAAAAGAAGTCATAGACAGCGTGACCTGGGGGAGCTAAACTTTTCTATCAAACTAATGGACTCGCTATTCAAAGTGCATATGACTCATGAGTGTTTTACATAAGCAGACATTTGCATCGTGTAACATTAAATCCCACTTATACGCCGCGGTGTTTAGTCACAGGTTGGTTACATTTTGGAAGAGCGAGCTGAATTATACTTATATCAATATGAGATCGCTACACTTGATAAAACAATGGTGAGATGAAAGTTGAATCTTTGATATAGTACCCTGACCAGCAGTTTTTAAAGTTCTATCACGGAATGATCAAGTAACCGACTGGAGGATGCCATTTTTACAGGAAAAAGATGTGGAGATTTTTGAAAAAGGTAGGCCTATATTAAATATTCTAATGTTTTACGGCTTTCAATACTTTACTGTTACATGTAGACAAAGAAGCCTAAAGGATAGCTGACTT